TGCTGCCATTGCAGCTCTCTCTTCCTCTCTACTCTCTTCACATTTTCATAATTCTCTTCACTCATTTTGCTCTCTTGCATATGCCTCTATTTATAGGCATTCATGGAGGCTTTTCTTCAACAAAGGTGGCTGCCAACTCCAACTCTTCTTCAACAATGGTGGCTGCCAACCTTTGACATCTTGGATGAGTGCACATGGTTGGTGCAATAGCAAATGGTTGTTGCACATTAATGGCAACCAACCTAACACTCTCTGTTTCAAATTAAATGCTAAGATATATTCATGCTAAAATAAAAAATTATAATAATTTTGCTTTTCATTGCAGAAACTGCTGTGCTGCTTTTAGAACTTGATAAATCACTTGGCAGGTTGCCAGACAGCCGGGGGAAAACTTGTCTTGGTTTATTGGCCGAGATACCTTCGGCTTTCAAGAGTGGACACTCTATGAGTATATTCAGCCGATACCTTTACATGTGTATGTTCCAAACTACATGCCTGCTTGTTTTAATTTTTTAGTAAAACATGAATCTAATGCTTTTAGGGATTATTTGCTGTTAGATATTAATATTATTGGACATTTATTTAACAGTATATTTTTCCTGGAAGCAAGGTGTTTTACCTGAATTTCTTTTCATGTAGAAATTTCAGTCTGTGACTAGTGTCATCGATATTTTAAAACTTCAAAATTATTTTCTTATTTTAAACCTTGTGAAGATTTGATTGACTTGCATGCGAGTATTTTAAAGGTCTTCCGGTTGAAGATGAGTGTGATGAGGCCATCAATGAAGATACCTCAAGAGTTTGGGAAGCTATGGAGAGTGGCCGAAAGAGGAATACGAATAGTCGATTTAGCTACCATGTCCACAGAGGTACAGGAAAAGCAAACCTAGTTTAACCTCTGATGGACTATCTAATGATTGAAGAATTTAAGCTACAGTAACATGTTGGTAGCATGAAGTCTTCTCTAGGAAATGCAACTGGGAAGAATATAACTAATCAGAATATATATAGTCTGGTATTTCATTCCTTCGTATATTTGACTACTATTGGCTGTTCATTTGCAGTGTTAGAATGGATCAACGGATCAATCTGCAGATTATCCTTCAAAGGTATTTCTCCCCACCCGAAATCCCAAACAAACTCAAAATGCTCACCTCCCATCTTTCTCTCTTATCTAATGAATAGGGTGGCCGATGGTGGAAAGAATCTGGGAAAATAAGAGGAAGCATAAATTTGCCTTGCAACTGGCAAAAATGCTAATAAGGAGTGATGTTTCGTGGGATCAAGATATTACTGTACAGGGCCTGTATGGAGCTAGAATTGGATGCCCTGTCTCTGGTCCAGCGACAAGACGACGAAAAGTAGAAGACAAGGGGGTAGATCTTTGGCATCCTTTGCTTACAGCAACAAAAACAGGAATACTAGAGGTTGTTTATGAAATGCTCAGAGAGCATCCTCAGTCTGTTGATCTTCTTAACGAAAAAGGGCAGAACGTATTGCATGTAGCTATAATGTACAGACGCAAGGATATTTTCCAATTTATAAAGAGTAACAGGATAATATCGAACAGGATGAGCTTTGGAATTGACAAAGATGGCTACACATTATTGCACCAAGTAGCAGACAACACGCATTACTCTGTAGGAAGCAAGCATGGTCCTGCACTGCAATTACATGAGGAGTTAAAATGGTTCGCAGTAAGCGCCTTTCGTACCAGTATCTTTAGATCATTGTATGAGAAAAAAGGTTTATATTATTTTAACCTGCCAAAGTAAATTGGAATCATCCTAGGTGATTTAGAATTGAATCCCAATTTCGTATAACTTTTCATTTTGAGGAGTTTGCCGTCATGTTCTCCTTTTGTATGCAGCGTGTCGAGAAGGTCATCCCTTCTTATTATGCCAAGCTCCCCGACTTTAAGCATAAAATGACTGCAGAGGAGCTCTTCAAAGATACGCACAAAGATCAACTCCGGGACGCACAGCAATGGGTCAAGGAAACTTCTCAGTCATGCTCAGCTGTAGCTGTTCTTGTTGCCACCATTGTCTTTGCTGCTGCCTACACTGTACCTGGTGGTTCAAATGATAAGGGCATTCCAATTTTCCTCCACAAAAACTTTTTCTTGTTTTTCACCATCATGGATGTGATCGCCTTAGCAAGCTCCTTGACCTCAGTTGTGATGTTCCTCTCTATCCTCACTTCTCCTTTTGATTACGAAGATTTTCGTAACTCAATCCCTCGAAAACTGACTTTGGGATTCACTTTACTCTTCTTCTCCGTGATGGCGACCATGCTTGCTTTCGCTGCTACCATTTTGCTCATCGTTCAATCAGAGAAACAATTGACAGCAGGTTTGATTTCAATTGCCGCATTTTTTCCCGTCTCCGTGTTTGCGTTGATGCAGTTCCGTTTGCATGCTGCATTCATGCATTCCACGAAGGGCATCCGTAAGGCAATGAGTAGGTCCCTCCCCTGGTTTGGTGCCCCTTTACTGTTTCGCAAGAGAAAGCAGCGTCGAGATTTATTTCAGAAAAAGTAAGTTTCAGAATCAGATTATTACTCTGGATTTTGATTTTAAGGTGGGGATATTAGTGCCAGTTCATACCATCAACTACGTGAGAGAGTATTAGCAGCTGATACTCTTTATCACACGGTCCTACTTGTCAATCACCTGTTATAGTCTACCTGCAATTCCATTGAATCTCTAGTGGCTGTGTTTACTGAAGATTCCTTCGTCAACATCTGACGCGAGGCCACCAACGTGGCAAATTCACTTGCTATGCAAGCACTTCTTTTGGTTAATAAATTGAACCTACTGTTCTGTTTTTTTCTGCTACTTCCTTCTGTAGCATCTGTTCTGCTTAAGCATCTTTGTGTTTATTGCTCTGAAAAAATAAAATAAAATGTAAAAGAACTTACTATTTGCTACTTGGTTCTGGTGTTAAGCACGTCTAGCTAGGTAAACCAGAATTATTGGTCCAGCAATAGTTTGTTTGCTCTGCATTCAAATGTCAGGAAATTCAGCCCCGTTTATTTATTGAAAAATAGTTTTTATTTGAAATATAAATTAAAAAAATAAATTATTTTTTGATATTTGATAATTTTTATTTGAAATATAAATTAAAAAAATAAATTATTTTTTGATATTTGATAATTATTTTTAAATTTTTCATAATTTCAGGAAAATGTTTTTCATCTAAATTTTTTTAAAAAACACTTTCCTAAAAATCAAGTTAAAATTTTTTTTTTAACAGGAAAATATTAATTTTATAAATTTTTTAAAAAATAAAAAAATTTAAAAAATAATTTTTAAAAATGAATTCCAACTCTAAACGTCAAAGCCATCTTAAAAACGAACACTTGCAAAGAAAAAGGGCCAAGCCCAGTAGATTCTCCTGAACTATTTCTTGAAGAAGTTACGGAACGTGGTTCTAGATTAGGTTTTGATGGGCTTGTTTGGTTTTTTTTTTTTAAATAATTTTATTTATGTGAAAAATTGAATTTTTTTACTTTAAATTATTTGATTAATATTTTTAATGTTTATATATCAAAAATAAATTTAAAAAAATATTATTTTAATTTATTTTCTACAAAAAAAACCATTACCACAATACTCAACAATATATATTATTCTACGTAAACTTAAAAATATCCTTTTCATTCTCTCTCACGTCTCATTCTCCTCATTATACAAGTAAATATTTGTAGTTCATATTCTAAAATTTCTTCAAATTCTTATTGCTTTTTTGTCAAAAAAAATGTCATTTTTCTCTCCCGTTTCTCTTTCTTATTTCTCTCTCACCAATTTAGTTAGCATCCATTTTTCTTTTTCATAAAAGTTCACTAATTGGCTATACAAATTAGTAGTTTTGAATACTGGCTCCCCGAAATAAAATAAAAATAATTGACTCCGAGAAACTATATCCAATCTGGGACTGGTGCGGGCTAAAAGGGATTGAACATTGAGTCTGATGCACGTCCAATTAAGGCTTCGAAGAAACATGCAGTAGCTAGCGCTGTTGGTGACTTCTCCTAAGAGTTTGGGTGTTAGAGTCATCCACACGCCTGACAGAGAGAGACAGACAGAGGCCCCTAACAACAGCAACAATCATGCACTCTAACGACCACTGACGACTAGTTGCTTCAAATTGTTAGCCTTGAGGCATCAACCCAACTCGAAGAGAGTTAGTTAGACCTGAAACATGGACTTTTATCTTCTAGCTAGCATCCAAATGTCCTAATAGAAACACACACGCCAATTTCCTACTATCTTTTGATATTCAAGAAATAATACATGATTCTGCCACTTTTTTTTTGTTTTTTTAGGCATTTGTCTGTCACAATTAGTTTAATTACTTTCTTAAACTTGTCTTAATTTCAAGTCCTTAATTTGTAGTACACTGTACAAGTACCATCGAGTCACATGGCTGAAACTTACCACGACACTTGTTACCTTCACCTCTTGCATTTGATCTTTCGGATTTTTTACTTTAATCGGATCAAATCAATCCCTCTACTTTTAATTAAAAATGATTAATTTGAGTTCTAATTTCTCCTTAAATTATCTTTAATTGGAATAAAATTAAAGATTTAATAATATAAAGCATAAAACTAATTTAATTTGATTAAATTTACACAATAGACAGGTGATGATTGATTTTTATTCTTGAGCCAAACTTTTTTTATAATTTTTTTTTAAAAGTATGATAACAATTATAGTATAAAGTATTCTTTTTGAAAATATATTAAAATAATTTTTTTAAAATTATATTTAACATTAAAATATGAAAATAATTTGAAAATATAAAATAAAATTAATTTTTTAATTTTTTTTTAAGATTTTAAGGAACACGAATTAAACCTTGACACCACACACTCCATGAACTTCATGCACAAATGATGAACTCAAAGTACAAAACAGTATTAAGTAGACAGCAATACGTGAATGTTCCAGGGTGGTCATTTGATCATGAACATACAAAACTAAAGCTCAAGAAATCTTACAAGTGAATTAATTAGCCTTTAGAAGCGATAGCGTGTTGATATCGATATAGCTAGGTGAACAAATCTGGTCCTACTTGTACACCAACAAAGTAGGTAACAGTTGATCATGCATGTTCTTGTAATTCTGATTCCCAATGAAGAACTTGGCGCTGATATTTATCCCCTTTAATCTCTATCCCAACATCAACTTTAGAAAAGGATACAAGTAAAATCATATATATATATATATATATATGGTCAGATGTCTTAATTAGCACGTAACATAGAGAAAACGACACTGAATGTTGTTTGCTAATTAACATCAAGTCATTCAAATATGAAAGGTTCCTTTCCGACTTCACATTATTTCAATTCTCTCACAAGTCTTACTCTAATTATGTTCCTATAGTATATTTCAACCTCTTAATCATCAACAAAACCCAACGCCCATGCCATAATTTAACAATCTCGCCCCCTTCCTTTCCATTAAAGCTTCCCTCCTTACCTGCAATATCCAAAGTCCACAACATCAATTGATCACCTTACCATGCTTCTATATTACATTTTCTCAATCCTCTTTCTCCACTACAAGACACCATGCTCTGCCGCAAGGCCAGCACCTACATTAACCACCACGCCGGCAGTAGAAGCTGTAACGGTCAAAGATTCCAACTACACATGGCAGAATTTTGGGAGCTTCCTCAATGCGGGCAAAGGCAGTCATGTCAATGGAATGTCGGAGCTCAAAAGATACTTCCATCATTTTGGCTATCTCCCGTCACAAGATTTGAAGAGCATAACAGATATATTCGATGACCGGTTCGAAACAGCGATTGTTCGATATCAAGCTAAACTCGGCCTTCAAACTACTGGTAAGCTCGATCTCGATACGCTAAATCAAATCATGGCACCGAGGTGTGGTGTGCCTGATGATACACATACACTGTTTCACAAATTGCACGCATCTAGACATTACATTTATTTTCCTGGAAAACCTCGGTGGACGCGTTCCATACCAATGACTTTGACGTACTCGTTTTCTAAAGAGAATTTGATCAACTCTTTGAGTTTGTCAGATATCGAAGAAGTGTTTAAAGGTGCTTTTGCAAAATGGGGTTCAGTTATACCAGTGAGTTTTGTGGAGACAGATGATTATGCTTTCTCCGATATTAAAATAGGGTTTTATAGTGGAGATCATGGCGATGGAGAACCATTCGATGGGGTTTTAGGAGTTTTGGCTCATTCATTCTCACCTGAAAGCGGGAGATTTCATCTTGATGCAAGGGAAACATGGGCCATCGATTTTGATTTGGAGAAGTCAAAGGTTGCTGTTCATTTGGAATCAGTGGCTGTCCATGAGATTGGTCATCTGTTAGGATTGGGCCACTCTTCTGATGAAAAGGCTGTCATGTACCCTAGTTTGAAACCCAGAAAAAAGAAGTTGGATTTGAGCGTTGATGATATACAAGGAGTGCAAGCTCTTTATGGATCCAACCCTAATTTCACACTTGGGTCCTTGTTAGAGTCCGATATTTCAACGAATAAGGCTGCTGATTTAATTAGAATCAGATTATCCCAGTGGTGGGTCACTCTGATTATGGCACTGATGCTAAGTTTTACATGATTTTTATTGTCACGATCATCATCATTATATGTACTGGTAGGAGCATTATAGTCCTTTCACACACAACATTAACACAATATATACATACATACATTTGCTTTCAACTATTCTTGGGGACCATAAACAGTGCCTTGATTGCAGATACAATATTTGATGTAATACTAACGAACAAATTGCTTTCTGCGTATGCACAGCTTGTATCTTTCATGTTTTATTTTTGTCAGAATTTTTAAATATTAATACATGAGTTTAAGACTGGCAATTGCACAAGAAATTTCTCCTTTTTGCTCATTTAGAAGCTGATGAGAATAGTTGTATCCAGCTTATAGAATTTCCATAAAAAATTGATCCACCATTATTAATTTATCATTATATCAAATGATTTTATCAACTAAACTAACTTGCTAGTGCCCCTTGTTGTCCTAGGAATATATGCATATTCGTGGAGATTTGCAAAAGGAAAGTTGGGTACACTCAGACAATAAGCCATTAATTTGTTTGTATAGCAAGGAATCAACTGGCTCAAGGCTTTAATTGATTAGATGCAATTTAATCTGTCCAATCATATCAATATATCTGTTTGAATTGATCCCACCTAAACAACTTCAGTTTTTTTTTCCAAAAAAACGATATGTTAGTTTCGTCAAGTTTGGTACATCAAATGCGTTAATTTCAAAGTTCACTAAATTATAAAAAAAATTAATTTGGATTTAATAAATGTAATAAAAAATTAGATTAATTTCAAAGTTGATTTTTCGGGTTAGGGATAAATTGATCAGGTTCTGCGTCAAATTGAAAGCTAGTTTTGATTTAATAAATATGATAAAAAATAAAGATTAAAAATATTAAAAAATAATATAAATTATAACTTGGAGTTTTATAGAATAATTTAAATTTTTAAATTAAAATTATTTTTTAATATAGTATAGAGAGTTATCAATAATTATGAATTTAAATTTTATTATTTTTTTTTTTTAATTAAAATTAATTAATAATACAATATAATGTTGGTCTACTTATGAGTTATGAGTTATATAAGTTTTAAATTTAAAAAATATTTTTTGCATTTAAACTTGCTATTTATTATATTAAAATATTGAATAATAATTTAAAATACCTTACCCTGTCTCAGATGAATTTAGCATTCCTGATCTCTTTTAGTAAATTTCTCATTAACTGTGAAAAATTTTACTTATTAATAAATCATTCTTGTTATGCCAACTAAACCCACAAATAATGAAAGAAAGCCATCCAGAAAAAGCAAAAGCGAGCAAACGTCCCCTTCAAGTTGTCGAAATGATGATTGGATCACCAAACTAGCGACTGAGGGGGGAAATTTACTGTTCAATTCCACCATCCGTATTGGTAACAAACCATAATTCATACTGGATTCTTTCTAATATTTATATTATTAATTAACATATAATTAATTATATGGGGCACAAAGGCTCTCCAAAGTAACAGATACATAAGTCAATGTCGAAGTCAGACATGCGTCCTTCTCAAAATAAAGATAAAAAAAATGGTCAGAGATGAGTCTTCAGCAGACATCATCCACTTGATTATGTGTATGTGATCAAAATGGGCGGCCTTGACCTGGAGGTCATGCCGGCCATTAGCTTCAGAAATGAGCTCCGAAGTACTGTAGCGTATTTGATCACCACCAAGAAGAAGAAGAAGAAAAAGATGATGAAGCTGTATGTACATTGATAATACAAAAAACTTTAAGAAAAATTTAGAGATCGCAATCTTAAAACAAAATATCTATAACTTGAAACCATGTTTATATTCTCAAAACTACGAGATAAAATCCTTTATTTAATTTCTAATCTAAAATCCAAAAATTTAATTAACCTTTCGATATGAAATGATAAACAAGATATCTATCAAATCTTCAGCTTAAAGTGAAATCGTCATGGCATCTTATCATCTAATTGGATAATTCTCACACTTAACTTAAATATTCGTGATATGATATTTTGAAAAATAACCCTATAACAACTTTAAATGATGAGTATAGTGATCAAGAAAATTTATTATTTTTCTAATTTTTTGAAATCAGAATTTAGGATAAATAAAATTTTTATTACCCTAATGCATCACATAAATTGAGTTAAAATTACACCCATGAACTTTGAGCAAAAAAAAAACAAAAGAACAAAAATCTCTCTTGACTAACGTTAGAAACAAGTCCTCATTAAATTTATCATTTCTTTTTTTTTAAAAAAAGCACATATTGTCAAGCAACTTTATGCCCAACCTAATGTTGCCCCGTATATGTAATTTCTTTTCGAGTTACATATATAAAAGCATTATGTTCTTGTATTTTCCTTTGACTATTTTATAATTTTTTAATATATTCTCGATGATTATTAAAAATAAAAAAACATACATAAAAGCATCACATGCTTTCTTCACTGGATTCCCAGCTTTCTTTTTGGGCAAACGGCCCCTAACTTTCTATGTTCTTTTATGCGAAACACATACATCAAGCTGCCATGGTGAGAGGCAGAGAGGACTCTAACTCTTTATCATCTCGTGAACTGTGTAACCTAGGTACCATTCTCTCCCACGACAAATGCACAGACATGTACACTTCATCATATGTTAATTTTTCAGGATTATTTTCAAAATAACTATATTTTAATTAATACATTTGATTATTATAAAAAATATTTATATACCTTTTTTTTAAATCATAACAGTAGCCACAATAACCAAAAAAAACTTTATTATCAAGATAAAAACACATAAAATTAATTTATTTAAAATAATTTTAATATATATCTGCCGTGATCATTGAAAAGCATACAAAACTCGTCATTTCATAACCGTTTCAGCCCAAACATACTTTTATTAAAATATTTATATTATGTTATTAAATACACATAAATCAAATATCCTCTCCATAATCATAAAATTCATAGACATGTTTTCTCTTTCATGATTCTTTCTTTCTAAAATCTAAATCAAATATCCAAACCTAAATGAAAGAGCAAGAGCAGCAATTAACCCACTCAATACCCACTAATCTGCCTTTAGCGGTACCATGTTGTTAATGACAGAAAAACAATAATTTAGCAGAAAGGTTGACAAAGGCATGTAGCTATGACAACGGCTGTGATCATGTCTAATTTCATATCGGAAAAAAGGATCATCTTTTCCCAACACTTCATCAGCATAATTGAGTGGACACTACTAGTAAATGGCGGATGCTGAGAGTTGACATTTCTACGCTAATGGAATCCATGTGTTGGTAGAAGAGAAGATCCATGTGGACTCCTCGGCAGCAAATTTTTAATCCAGAATCACTTCAAGTCAGGAGCCACAAACATGTCTGTGGCTAATTTATTAGTCCAACAAGTGAACTGATGACGATAACCGACATTTTGATTGCATCGTGACTTAAGATATGTAGTAGTACCCCACATCCTACAATGCCTGGCTGCACTACGGTTTGGATTTTTCTTATGCAACTAAAGGGAGTTGTTTCTATTGGATTCAAGAGATCATTAATTTCATAATTACGAAAAGAAGATGGAAGTGAAAAGATTAATCGTGGCAATTTCAACCTTTTCCTGCAAGACAGACAAGCAATCATATGCAGAATCATCGTAGAAGATTTTGTGAAGAAATTCTTCCTACAATTATTGTATGTTTTCATCGATCACCATTCTACAATCCACGGAAAATCACCCTAGAAGGATATGCCAGTTACCTGTTGCAAGCATTGTCGACATATATAAATGATAACAGAAAGAACTGACATTTTTTAGAATAAAAACTACACTCCATTTTGCCATACCCAAATATTTTTTATGCTATTTTTGCAGGAATATTCGGTGTTTTTAAATTAATTGTATCCATATATATATTTTTTTAGGTGTAAGTGCCTCGTCTTAGGGGTGGCAGTACTTGGCATCTACTGATTTTCTTTTTGTTCATTAAAATCTTACGCGTTTGTTGTTACAAATTAAATCATTTCCTGATAAAGAAAATCACATTTATTTTAATAAGATAATATAGAAATCATTTCTTAGAAAAATCTTGCTTGATATGTTGAAAGTTATAATCATATAAACTCTTAATATTTTGCTTAGAATAATTATCCAACATTCTATCAAAATGATGCATATACTTGGTAAAATTCAATTTTATATGACAGTTTTAATTCGACTAAATTAAGTTTTATTTTTTATTTTACTTATATTTACGTATAACTATGTGTTTCACTTATTTAAAAAGATTCCCATAGTTTTATTATCATAAAAAATAATTAACCAATATAAGTAAATAATTTCAAAGCATACATTAAAGAGAAAATCCCTCAATTTTTATTAAGATCATAAACAAAGGATTTACACAATACAAATATGTATATGTTATGCACGAAGATTTTATTCTACATGGTCAAGGCCTTCCAAGTTTATTTATATGAGAGGTTGCAAACTATATAATTGTCATCCCTATTTTTAAGGAAGTAGTTGGACACTTTCTCTTTCAAATTCTCATGAATTTAATGGTTGATTTGACTCATGATCCCATAATCTTATTTTTTTAAGGAGCAATCTCAATCATATTTCCATGTTCAGCAGCTATGTCCTTATGATTTGTACATTTATTTTTTCTATGATGTTATGATCATAATCATCATAACTACTCACCATACTACTGTCACTATAACCCACAATCTGTTTATCTAAATGCTAGCCCTTTATTGATATTCCAATTGTATTTTTGTTACCTTTAAAAGTCCATCATCTAAATCTAGTTTTATGCCAAGTTGAGAACCCATGACTCTCACAAAATTGAAAGATATGTTGTTTACAAAATTCACCACTATCCAATATAGGTTGCCACAATCCTTCACTATCAAATTTGATGTAACATGCATTTGTTAGCGCATCCTTATGCCTATAACTCTAACAGACCACTCCCATTAAAAGAGTCTGATGTCCTCATCGAAAAAAGGGTGAGGTATTCTTGTATTTTTTTTCTTTGAATTGTCATAAATCCATGTCCTTTTTCTATAAAACATCCAAGTTTTTCTCTTATTTTACTAAAAACTTAGTTATTTAATTCTTTCTATGCTAGTCAAGTTGACAATGATCTATGATCTTGATAATACCACTGTCAAAATGTTTGTGAATTGTTAAAGGAGATCTTTATAACATACTTCATTTTAGATCCTCTTGATATTCATAGAAAGGTCTTAAATAGATTACATGAAAAGTTGGATGATTTTCATGATTTTGAAAGGTCAATCATAGCTTGGCACCAACCCTCGATGCTTTGACTTTTCTAAAATTTTCTTCCTGATTTATGGAGTTAATTTGAGTAACACCTTGTCGTCTTCACTGGATTTCAGCAGTCTTCATTTCTGGTTAGCATACATCAACATCATTTTTCTAGCTTTACATGTATAAGTTTTCTTGGGCTTGCTTAAACAATTCTTATGTTTCCATCCCAAACCTATACACACTTGGACTTTTACCAACTAATTTTTGCACAATAATCTTGGTAGAAGTTTGAATTTATATCCCAAAACCAATTTAAATGGGCTTACTTC